CACAGTAAAGGGTACCTGGGGCAATAGGGTTAAATGGCAAACATGGTGGGACATAAAAGGATTTGATTTTAGTAAAGTATTATACAGATTGATAATCAGTATTAGAAAAAGTGTTGATAAGTATACCATATGTCAAGCTCATAGAATTTTTTATAGATATCTAAAAAATTAAACATTTCAAGTATCACTTGTTGCAGCATCCACTGCTACTTGGTTGAGACTAAAACACACACTTTAAATGCTACAGACATACGCATGGCAAGTTCTTGATTTTTTTCTTCCTTATCTGCATTCTAGCAAAGTTTTTCCAATAGAAAAATTACCAATATCTTTTAGTTTTCTTTCCTTTTCTACTAGATTCTTTTTTCAAACTTTTGTTTTTTCTGAAATAGGTGTTAGCCTGGTCATTTTATTGAAATTGTTATAACCTATTAAGTTGAAGGTAACATAAGTATTGTTTTAATATACCTTTATGCATAGTTAGAGGAGGCTACTTTTTTTTTTAATGAACTGAGTACAGATGCTACTTCTATTCATTTCTGTGTTAAAGATATTACTTCAGCTGAGACCAAAATGCACTATTCCTCTGAAACAGCACAATTTTAAGTTATATAAACCACTAATTATGAAAAGCCTTACCCTCATGCGCTCACTAAAAGCTTCTTTGTTTTCCTGTGTCAGTCTGCGAATCTCATCATTTAATCGATCCACCTCCTCTTGGTCAGACACAGAGAGTTGGGTTAAAAGGTCCTGCTGCAGTTCACTTCGTAGTGACTGCTCTGTAGATTCCATAGACTTCAAACTAGATTCTAAGCTACTCAAGCTTCGTTCCTAACAGAGAGAGCGACAAATATTACTTTTCAAGTATAAAACTTTATATTCTAGTAATTTAAGCACAAAGAACTAGAAGTTCAAGTTGTGATTAAAATTTTCATTTTTTATTATAACAAAGAGTGTATAGCTGGAAATGAGCAGCATTTCTGTGCAAGATGACAAAAATTCTAATTTTATACTAGTTACACATACTTACAAATGGAAGGCATACAAAATTAAGCATTGCACACACACACTTTGACAACATGTCTTATGTCTAATTATTCTTTTATAGTTAAGATAACTGTTAAACCTAAAGCCTATTACAAACTCCAAGCTTTTTCTTTCCATAAAGTATTACATTTCTCACTACTGACAAAACAGGACTACAAAATCAGAACTATTATTCCTCCTTTATACATGATTTTTTATTTTCTAATTGAGTAAAATGATATGAGAATAAAGCAAGAAAAAAGATGAAACTCCAGTTCCACCATGTTCACTACCAGAGCATAAAAAAAGATAATTCCTCTATCATAAAGTATGTTAAAACAGAAAATGAAACAATAAGGTCTAATGTTTGTTAGTTTTTCTATTGAAAAACTGAAGTTGCTTAATAGAAATGAACTTTGGTGAAAAAAAAATCACTTTTGTTCTTAACATATATCTAGGATTGAAAATATGAGGAAATACATGTTATATGAAACATTAAGGTAAACCTATTCTATACCTAAGATGGAACATAAACTACTGGTTTTGATAGGATATTACAGTAAACCAATGCTACTGGTTTTGATAGGATATTACAGTAAACCAATGCTACTGGTTTTGACAGGACATTAAGACAAACTAATGCTTCTGGTCTTCATGGAACATTAAGACAAACTAATGCTTCTGGTCTTCATGGAACATTAAGACAAACTAATACTTCTGGTCTGGATGGGACATTAAGGTAAACCCATGCTATTGGTCTAGATGGGACATTAAGGTAAACCCATGCTATTAGTCTAGATGGGACATTAAGGAATGCCAATGCTATTGTTATTGATGGGACATTAAAGTAAACAAATGCTATTGGTCTTAATGGAGCATTAACTGTCTGGAATGAGGCTCAGTGGTTTTGAAGATTGCCCTGAAAGTTAAGGATATATGGGTGGGTCTTCTGTCATGGATTGGGAAAATTTGCTGATATCTCACTAAAGAAAGAAGTTATACTGTTGAAACTTTGACCTTGGAATTATTTACAGATTATTTTACATTACTTATACAATGTAGATGCTACATTACTGAAGTTATACAATCTAAAAGGGTCAGAATTGAGAGCCAGACAGGTCATATAAGAAGAAAAGTGAAGATTTAAATTTTTCTTTTCAAACTAAGAAATTCAAACTTAGCTAATATAAACATCTGAATTATAAACTACATCCTGATGTTAACTTTATTGATGTACGTCGATAATAAGTTGTTAAATTAAATTTTTGAAAGTACTTCTGAAAAGCATTGTGACATGTGCACATTAACTAACCCAATTTTTAAGTTTAAGATAAACCAATGCTATTGATCTTGATTCATTATACTAACTTATGTTTATAATACATATTTTTAGGACATACAAAAATGAACTACAGAAAAACTTGTGTGTAAAATTGAAAAAGTACATAAGCTAGTTACATTCTGAAGACTAGATATGTACAGTAGGAATCTATCTAAGCTTCAAGCTGATACAATAAAACAATAACAAAGATTAATAATGTTCCAACTTAAAATTTTAAAATCAACAGCACAACATCATAAAAATATGGAGAAACAAAAATATTACCTTAGGCTGCCGAGAGCGTTCCAGCCCAGTGAGCTCTTCCTTCATGAGTCGAATATCAGCTTTCAGTTTATCAAATACATCTCTATGGGAAAAAATTCTAAAATCAGAATAACAGTCAGGGAAATTTGGATAAGGATTTATCTTCCAACTTAAACTGACTTTAAAACATTCTGGTGGATCAAGTTTCTGTTTGATATTCAAACAAATAGTTAAAATAAATAATGAATCTAGGTTTTCTTTATCTTAGATATTTGTGTAAAGCTACACAAGGGCTATCTGCACTAGCCTTCTCTAATTTTGAACTGACAGACTTTGAGGAATTTTGCTAGCTACCAGCAACCACTGCCAACTCTTCTAACTGAATAGTAGGATTTGACCATCACTCTTAAAATGCACTCATGACTTAAAAGTGAAGAGTAAAGTTTTGCAATAACAGGACAAGAACAATGGACCATGTATTCACAGTCTGACACACTAATTACTTGGCCACACCTGGTACAGCCAACAGTTCTTAATAGGGAGTTAGATATTAGATAACTATCTTGAAAGTAAGGTTATATAAATACTTAAAATATTAACTAATGACACAAATGAGCACTTAATAATGTTATCTTTATATACATCCATCTATTCAAACACTGTTTTGCTCATAGTTCAGATAACAGTGAGATGATTTACTTTTAGAGTTATATCATAGAAACTAAAAACAAAAAATTCAAAAAGTTTATAAATTTACTAAATTATAAAGCAACAGCCAAAATAACAGTTTCTCCAATAAAGTTGAAATAAATTTTGAAAGAATATTTTAATTTCCCATTGTTTCAAGTTGCACCTTGTGACTCTCTCATACACAATTTACAAACTTCATCCTAAAGTTACCATAAAATGTAATGAAGCAGGAGTGTTTTAGATGTAAACACCCATACTGAACTTCATTTTTATATTTTTTAAATGGTAATTTCGTCTAAAGAAACTATATCCTACATTCAAAGGAAAGGTAGTTGACAAAATGAAGGGAATGCAGAAATTGGGAAAAATCTGATATTCTAGAAAAATTATTCTTCAAATAAGCATAGAACAATAAAAATACCCATTTAAACTAGTGTGGGTCAAGGCAAACTTCCTTGCAGATATGCACTACAGAAACAACAAAAATATCTTCATGCCCAGTGTTAAAAAGGTTCACATTAAATTATCTATAGGTAAGATTGAAAAACACAGAAATATCCCTTAAGCCCATTGTACAAAGGTTCAAGTCAAACTTTAATAATACCTACAAGCAAGCTCTACAGAAACAACAAAAATATCCCTTAAGCCCATTGTACAATAGGTTCAAGTCAAACTTTAATAATACCTACAAGCAAGCTTTACAGAAACAACAAAAATATCCCTTAAACCCATTGTACAATAGGTTCAAGTCAAACTTTAATAATACCTACAAGCAAGCTCTACAGAAACAACAAAAATATCCCTTAAGCCCATTGTACAATAGGTTCAAGTCAAATTTCCTAACAGAAAACCATAAGAGAAACCAAAAAATTCCTATTTTAATTTCTCCCGTAAAAGTTAAGAAAATCCTTCCTTGCAGCTAATAGCAACTAGCCATAATGTTTATTCAGATAATGTAGACCTACAGATAAAAACAGTAATAACATTCTCTTACCAGTACAAGACAAAACGAAATATTTATTTATTTCAATGATATTAATTCAAGTCACTTTTTACAGAACTTCTTCTTAGCTCTATTAACTTGTAAAACTTGAAGCTTCATAAAGTAAAGGTATCAATCACTCTCTCATATAAGGATTAGTCTCATCCATATCTAAGATATTTATCATAAAACCTGACAGCTTGGCTAGCTCAAAAAAATTCAATACCTAGTAACTTAACTGAACACTTACTTGTTTTTGCTGTTCTTGGTTTCAGCTTTCTGCATGTCACTTACTATCTGGTTAATCTGGCTTTCAAGAGGTAATATAAATTAAGGACATACAATAATTAAAAGTTTTCAAGTATGAATAATATTCATTTAAAATATGCTAATAACATTAAACATAATTCCTTTTTTCTTTTCTTTTCAAATGACAATTTCATTTTGTCATGTCAGTTTCTCACATATGGCTCCACATTTTGTAAGTTTGCTGAAAACAACTAGTGCCCTTAACACATTGTGATGGTTAATTATCATCACATGTAACAGTGAAGAACAATTTACATTCAGTTCCTTCACATATTTGTACCAAATATGTACTGACTTTTGTATTTAGAGAAGGTTATGGTACTTTTCATTTCTAGAACAAACTTTTTATTAAACTGTTGGAAAACTTAAAAACACTAGTATTTGCTATGATGGATATTTTACATAAAAGAAATGTAATACAAAATTCAAAGCAAAACATGCTGGTGTTTTCATGTCTGTTATTATTATTTACTACTACTGTTACAGTTCACATACAATCACTGATCAGTAAAGGATATAGCTTAAATTCTCCCTGTGAGTTGCAAGCTGCTTCTCCTGCTCAGATATCTCAGTGACAAGTTGCATGTGTGCTTTGTGAAGATCAAGTCGGGAACGCCTGGTATCAAAATACCCACCAGTCAGTGCTCCTTTGTGTGATACCTGGTCACCTTAAGTTGAATAAAATCATATACATAGGTGCTATAAATTCTTAAAATTCTTTCAAACTGTTGATTTTCTAATTCAATTGTTAAGCTGCTTTAGTAAACCAAACTCTTCTTCTTCTTTATTATTTTTGTAAGCTTTAAGTTTCATAATATACAAATAGTTTCAAACTACTTTTGTCCTTATTAAAAATAATCTGCTAGAAATGAAAAACCAAAACAACAGTATTATTCTGATATTACACTTTTTTAAACTATAACTAATTTTCTGAACAGCCAGATATTATCGGATAGAAGCGTATCTTTGATTGTACTATATGTAAATTGAATATCTTGATTATGTATTTTATGAGCCAACTGTATTAGTCAACAGATTTTAATGTTAATATACTAGTCAGGTCCATGTTTCTTGAAGCAATATCTGACAAACATTGTAATTTATAGAAAAATATTAAAAAATGCCAAACACAGAACACTTATACCTTAACTTTGTCTAATCCTGTAAAAAGCAAAGCTGGCATTGCCAAACAGGATGAAAGGCATTGGTTTCCATAATATTTTTTAAACAATTATTAGATACTTAAGTTTCCACAAAGATAAGACAAGTTGGTTTAACCCTTTCTCCACGAGTACCATTTACTGCGCATGACACAAGATTTTAGTGTCTTACATACAAAATTTCATTAAACTATTTTCTTTATGTTATACCTATTAAAATAACATAAAATCTTAGCTGCATTTAGGAGGTTTTAGGGATTACACAAAGGAAATTTAGAGATTTTTTAAATGACAAAAATTATTTTTAATTTTAACATGAAAATTACTTTGCACACGGACTATTCAAACAAATACTCAATATATTCAAGACTTGTGAAAGACTTGTAATATTAACTGAAAGTCTGCCAAATTTCATGAAGATATACCCAATATATAGAAAGTTATAAGTATTAAATTTATATCAACTTTAAATGAGTACAGGAGGTCACGTGACTTGATCAAATTGACTGACCCTGTTTCGAAAGATTTAATCAATAAAATGAGAGGTTTAGGTGATTTAGTTATTTTTACAGTTACAATATAATAATAACAACTAAATAAAATTTACTACCCATGTAAAATGGGCTAAGAATATAAACATTTTGAAATTTGGATAATTTTACCCTCTTTTTTAATGATAAAAGATGCCACCAAAACATTCCTGTAGTTCAATATTTAACTAATTTGGGCCTTAAGAAACTGGTCTTACAACACTTTAAAAGGCATTCTCAAATGAACAACAACAAAAATAAAAAACAACAAGAATTTAAAGAACCTAAACAAAAAGTCAGCTTGTTATGGATATTCCAGCAAAGCTACACAAAGGCTACCTACTTCATCCATCCATAATTCTGAAGTGACAGCTTAGGGAAATAATAACTTTAATAATAATAATAATAGCTTTAATAACGATCTCATAGTGTGGAGGGTGAATTTGTGCCAACAGGACACGAATTATATACCTTTGGATTCACAATCTGGCATGATAACCACGGGACCATTTTTGGCCTGGAGCAAAAAGTAATTGAATTTCTAATTAAAAAATTATATATAAATATATTTATCATGATAATATCTAACAGGATGTAGATGGCATTCTCATTTTAACTGTTTCAATTCCATCTTAACATACTTTAATCCAATACTATAAAATATATGCAAACATTTCTGACTCAAAGGAAAGAACTTTGGGGTTGGAGGTGTGTCACTACAACAAAATGTATTTGTATCTTCACAATTTGTACAATATGGAACCCCACACACAAAACCATTACAAGTAGTTAGATGTAACTGTAAAATGTTTTTAAATCTTCGTAACTGCAATACTACAAAATTGCAATAAGCTAACTCTTTCTGCACGAACATCCTTTGAATAGTATACAAGTTTTAAGTTCTTAATTTTATAAGACAATATTTTAAAAAATCCCAAATTTCCCCTAGTGTGATAAATGTGTATTTTCTCTAGGCATCTCCTCTTCTCTATTTTATTCACCACCCCCTGCAATAAGTAAGAAATTTAACGTAAATTACTCACTATAAAATTGCTTCCCAGAGTACTTTAGACCATCTCACAGTTCATGAAACCCAATATATTACAACTAACCTTTTCACACACACTTTTAGTTTTACTGCTTCCCAGAGTACTTTAGATCATCTCACAGTTCATGAAACCCAATATATTACAACTAACCTTTTCACACACACTTTTAGTTTTATTGCTTCCCAGAGTACTTTAGACCATCTCACAGATCATGAAACCCAATATATCGCAACAGGACAACTTCACATAAACAATTACATTATAATTATGCCTTGCTATGTTCAGGATTGCCCTAAGCTACAATCTCAAGTATTAAAAGAAATGTTTTATTCAATTTTTTTCTTTTAACTTTTGTTAGCTAACCCAGTAAGTTTCTAATTCGTATATTTTAGTTAGTTTTGTTAAAAAAACATAAGCATATTTGTATGTGAGAATATAATTCAATACCACTACTTTTTCACACTGTTAGTTGTTCACAAAATAATCAATGTTGCTCTCAAATATGCATTTTAGAACACAAAAAATACATCTGGCACTAAAATATAATGTCCCAAAACTATTATAAATTAACTGGTTTTCCAGCTAAGCTATAACTAGGTTATAAATCCTACTAGCTGCTTGAAGTTCAACACAACAATGATTGCAGACAATACATTTCAGGAAAACTGTATACTTAGCTGCATAAAATAAAATAACCATATAAGCAATCGTGTAATGAAATATATGCTTTCTCTACTGGTTATAAATGTTAAATAGCAATGTCCAAGAGAACCACAGACATGTCTTGAAAGATAAGAGATGAATAGAGAGAAATCAAAGGACATCATGCAAGTGTGATAAATACAGTGATGTCTCAGGAAAGCAAGATGACTGAATATACAAAATTTTGTATTCTGGCTTGTCAACATCTATAGCATGTGTTTATAATCAGTTTGGACACTCTGAAGCTCATGTAGTATAGAAAGAAAACTGAAACATGTCATGTGACATGGAGAAGACTGAGAATTTAATTAAATACTTGCTTTTGGAATTAAGAAATTAAAACTTAGATAATATACAAATCTGAATTATAAACTACATTTAGACGTCAAGCTTATATGCATACATTGATAATAAATTAATTTTATTAAATTTAAAAAGAAAATCTGTAAAAAAAGCAGTAACATGTACACTTTGACCCTCGCATGTGCATTTGGTAAAACGTAGTTATAAAATGTTTTTGTATGTTTGTAGGTGTAGTACATGGAACAAAAGCTTAATAAGGTATGTAACTATTTTACATAGTACCAAGCAAAAACCAAAAAATAAAATAAACATTTCAAGTAGCCAAATTTTTAAACTTAAACAAATCAGTTATTACCTGTAATACCTAAAGATCATCTCATATTTTTTGTAACTTTACAAAAACCATTCAAGGTGGTATTATGTCAGAGTTATCAACTATTTATTTAATGACAGTTTATAGTAGAGGAGAGTACCACATACAATATACAGTGATACTAAAAGAAATGTAGATATGCATAGGTTATAGAGGTTATACAAACTGCACAATGAACAAAAGTCTTTTAATTCTTCACACAAGCATCAATGCACACTACAACTTGTCAGAGTCACTATCAGATGGATGTCAGCAATTCACAGATATATCTTGGCTAGAAATACTTTTGTAAGACATCTAACTTCTGTACAACAGATTTGTACATATTACTAAAAACTATTCCCATTTCATGTAGGTAGGTTTGGCTAATTCAGAATTATAGTCAACATTCCTTCTCCAATATGGAATCAGTACATTGGACAGACCTCAGGCATATTCAGTTAACTCTCTCAATATGGGCTTTGTACTTAATTAACGTCTGTCTATATATATAGATTTAATACTTCTAACTTCCAATATAGTGTGAATATCTTCACAAAATTTTGCAGTCTTTCAGTTAATATTACAAGTCTTTCACATACAACAAATCATATTTTTAGTGAAGCATTTTAAATAAAATAAAATAAAGATTTGTTTATGAATATATTGAGTATTTGTTTTGAATAGTCTGTGTGCAAAGTAATTTATGTTAAAATTAAAAATACTCTTCCTTATCTCAATCTCAAATTTCCTTTGTGTAATCCCTAAAACTTCCTAAACACATTTCAAACGTTTTTTTTCAGTAAAACTTTATAGTTTATCTGTTATTTTCACTACCATATCTCAAAACAGGAATGGTCAATTTGACTGACCTTTTAACCACC